ACGCCGTCCTTTTAAATCGGTTTGATCCGAGGGTCCAGAATTGATGCTACCCCTATATATATATCCTTGTACCCCCTCCAGTCGAGCTATCCCTGAAACCCTAATTCATATCTTCAAGATCAAGCCAGTAAGCAAGAGAAGATTAGTCCTCTATAGGATCTAGTCTTGTAAATAATAGTGGGATAGAAAGTGAGGGAAGAGTTTAGAGGAGGTGTCAGCCTGTCAGTGCGCTCTCTCTATGGCTTGTACCTTGACGGATCCAAATTCTATCTGAGCTTGCCTCTGAGATTTCTCTAGTAATCAACTTCTGATTCAAGTAAGCATCTTGTTTATATTGTTCATCAGGATTGTGACTCTTTCGAGTGCTTTATTCCTATTCTAGAGGGAATAAAGTATTAATCGTAAGTGTAAGCGTGGTGCTTAGACTTGGGTCAATCGTGGATGCACCCTGTATTCCAGATCGGTGGTAGTTCGCGAGGGTGACTCTTATAGAATCGTTGAATCCTCTGTAGTCCACCTCCTGTTTGTAGGCCAAGTAGAACCCGGTTATGAAGGAAAGCATCCTCTGCTGGTGTCTTTCCCTAGCAGTGTCCCCAGTTAAATAGTAGAAGACATAGCTTACCAAAGTCAGAATAAGAGAACCTTAGTTATCCTCTCTACGCTCCTGTTTATCCTAACATTATTGCTACCCTTAGTTAAGTTAGACCATAGTTAGTCTCACATGTTTTCCTATACGATACTTGAAATATTTTCAGATGAAAGCTACAGCGGTATCCGTACGCTTGCGAATTTATCTGTGTGCGTTAATAAATACCAACATTGGGTCAAGGTAAACACAGATGCAGCCTCTAACACTACCACTTGCTCTGGCAGTGGTGGAGTGGTGATCCGTGACCACGAGGGGGTTATGCTTGCAGGGGCAGCGCGATGGTTTGATCACGTGCCGGACGCGCTTACTGCTGAAGCAATGGTGGCCAAGGAAGGGCTCGAGCTGGCAACGGAGAACAGTTATGAAAGAGTCGTCCTAGAAGTTGATTGTAGCAGCCTGACGGCGCTGCTTGCTGACGCTGAGGAATGAGGGAGGCTAACTCGGTGGTGCATTGTTCTGCTACTATGGTGTCGTACACCGAGCATGTCCTTTTTTGGTTAGACAATATCCCAGAGTGGCTTTTGGGTTTAGCTGCCACTGATTGTATTCCTGTCAATGATTAATGAAGCTCTGTGTTGCTAAAAAAATGATAAACAGAGGGTCACCTTTGTTTAAATGGATTAAAATGGTCTAAATGGTTTTACACAACATTATCAAAATATGCATATTTATTGATGTAAAACCAATTTTCTAGCATTTATACATATTTATTATGCAAGTATAAAAATCAATTACTTTTTAGTATGTATATATAAATTTATGCTTGTAAAAAGAATCAAATATACATATTTATGCATATAACAAATCAAGTATACATATTTATGAATATATAACAAACTTAAGTATACAAATTTATGCATGTAAAACTCAACTGGATTTACCTGTGTGTAAAATTTGTCAAGAAAATTATATGCTTATCAAGAATTAATTTAGTAAAGCGCCGATAACAAGCGGTAAGACAATAATCTTGCATTGAAATCCATGTTGTGGCAAATGATAAGTTATTAGCAAATAGTAAGTAATAATAGCCAACAAGCTCTTTATTCAAAATCTAGAACTTAAAGTAGCTATATCACAAAATATTCTCAACTAACAAGTTTTTTCAATTATGAATTCCTCTTGGTTTTAGTCTAAAGTAAATGAGAGGTAGAGTTAGAGGGAGAGAGATGGGATATCATTCTAAGAATCCATCAAAGTATTCTCTAGAAGCAAAATATATACATGGGGAACTTCGTATCATCATATGATGGCATAGAGTTTTGTTTCAAATTTCAATGTGTGTGTATAGTATTCTCATAGTACATGTAATAGATTATCTTGATATGTTTCGTCACTAGAATATGAGGTTTCCAAACATGCCACCATGCCTCGAGAACTTCCATCGAGATTTGGCCAAGACCACGTTCATGGGCCTTGGTGTGAAACACTAGGCATGTGTTTGGTTCTATGGACCGTGTGGGTTGAGTTGACTCTATTCCAGTTTTTTTGGGTTGGATTTATTCCATTTTGTGTTTGGTTACTGAGTTGGGGTTGCCCCTCATTTTCTATTTAGTTGGAGGAGAACAAAAGGTGGGTTGAGGTCCCTGGCACGCTGAGTCGACACGTCAGCCTCTCTTTCACTCATCTCGTGTGCTTTTTTCCTCCTGGAGCCGGGTGCGACTGCCCAGAGCTCGTCGGGAGCTCACAGGTGCTCGCCGGTGCTTTCTTCCTCCTGCTCGCCGGTGTGCCCGCCCAGATCTTGCCGGTGCTCCTGGAGCTAGGCTCCTGCTCGCCAACACCGCTGCCTCCACCCAGAGCTGCGCCCGCTGTCGCCGCTTGCCCCTCCCACTCCCGCGCCAGCCACCACAGCTCGCCCCTGCCCCACCTGCGTAGGCTACTGCTGCTCGCCTACGACCCCCATGGCACGAACGAAATCAGACGCACCAAGTGGGTCGATCCTGTCCGCTCGTTTCCATGGAATCGGATGAACCTGGGTCTGAGCAGAATATTTCCACTATAGGATGAACCCAACCCTGCCTCTCCCGACCAAATATTCTTAAAAATGGGTTCAACCGAACCTAAACCTAGTTGGACCATTCAACCAAACACATGCTAGCATGGTCGTCATATAGGACATAGTTACTTGCAGCATACGTTGATGTCTTAGATGGTTTGCATTACTTGGAAAGCAAACTTAAATATGCTCATGTGATTTCAATAGAGAACAATGCATCTTTGAATTTTGACTATGCATCATACATTAATTAAACAACTAATAGATATATGGCTTGATAATATTTATTGGTTTTGTCTATTCATTGTAAGGTCCAACTTGTTATTTGTCCGCTGCATATCAATTTTTTTCTAGACATGTGTATGCCGTGCGTACATATCCACTGGTACTTTTTTTTTTTTGAAACGTATCCACTGGTACATGCAAACGAGAAAAGAAGAGATATTTTACTTTCTGAGCTGATTCTAGGATAGCGATCTTCCGTGGCAGGCAGCCTAGGTTCGGGAATTAAATCCAACTCTACCGAAACCTCCCAATCACTGTTGTTCACAGAAATTCTATTATAAATACTCGCTCCATTTCAAAATGACTGTGCATCTTATTTTTCAATAAGTAAATTTTCTAAATTTTTTGATTATGTATAAAATATTAATAAACATTATTAGATTAATTATAGAATATTTGTATAATAAACATAGTAAAATATAAATGTTGATAATATTTTATAAATTTAATTAAATTCAAAATAATTTAACTTTTAAAAAATAAGTTGTGCAGTTTTTTGGATAGACGAGATACTACCTAGTTTTTGTACACATCTTTAGATCTTTGTCTTAGGACTCTTTGGACTTAGAGATGGGTCCCGTTTACTTCGCTGAAAAAACAAGTAAAAACACTGTTCCGGCTGATTTGTTGTAAGAGAAAAATATTATTCCGGCTGAAAAAACAAGCTAAAAAAGACGGATTATAAGAGAAGCGAACATGGCTCATGTGGACTCGTTTGGCAGAGCTCTACCAGCTTCAAATCCATAAAAACCTCAGATTCAGATTCACTTTTCTATGAATTTGGTGGAGCACCTCAAGGGGTGCTTCACCAACTCAAGTTTGGTGGAGTTAAAAAAATTACTCACCATGCCACTAATTACACAGAGAAAAGGTTCATCCCCGTTGCTCGCATTCGTGCGCCTTGCCCGCCCTCCACCGGTGCCGCCCCTTGGCCAGTCGCACGCACGCCCCTTTGCAGCGACTAGCCATGGCCGCGAGCTTCGACCCTCTTGCGCGTGAGTTCGTCTGGAGAAAGAAGAAGAAGCCCATGGGGTTTTTTTTGGCATTTTTTTATTATGCCCTGACACGTGGGCTCAGGTGGTAGTGAGATAGAGAGAAGTATAATGAGCCCGTAAAGCTTTACCAAACATGGCCTATATGTTAGTAAAGCTCTACCAAGCGTGACCTATATGTTAATAATATTTTATACATTTAATTAAACTCAAAATAGTTTAACTTCTAAAAAATAAGATGTGCAGTTTTTTTGATAGACGAAATACCTAGTTTTTGTACACATCTTTGGATCTTTGTCTTATGACTCTTTGGACTTAGAGATCCCGTGGACTAGTTTAGCAGAGCTCTACCACCTTTAAATCCATAAAAACCAGATTCAGATTCACTTTTCCATGAATTTGGTGGAGCACCTCAAGGGGTGCTTCACCAACTCAAGTTTTGTGGAGTTACAAAAATTACTCACCATGCCACTAATTACACAGAAGATTCGACATGTTCAACAACTGAGTGTTGCAGAAATACGTATGTTGCGATAGATTTGTGGTCACACAAGAATGGACCGAATTCAGAACGATGATATACGTGATCGCCTAGAGGTAGCACCAATTGAAGAAAAACTTATCCAACATCGGTTGATGTGGTTTGGCCATGTCCAAAGAAGACCTCCAGAGGCATCAGTGCATTGTGGAGTCCTAAGCTAAACTAATAATATGGTGAGAGATAGAGGAAGACCGAAATTGACATGGAGGAGGCAATAAAAAGATATTTGAAAGCTTGGAATATACCTAGATATCTATGTTTGAATATGAGTGCTTGGAAAGCAGCTATTAAAGTGCCTGAACCGTGACAAGGGGCTTTTGGTGGGTTTCAACTCTAGCCTACCCTAACTTGCTTAGAACTGCAAGGCTATGTTGGTGGTGGTGGTGGTGGTGATGAAAAAACCTGTTTATACTGATGTTCTCACTGAGTACAAATTAATTAACTTTCTTTTTGAAGAAAGCAATTTAAGTAATGTCATGCCTAACTTAAGTACATTTTGGAAGACAGGTTGTACGACATTATCTTCACGAAACATTGAGTATGATGTATCTCTGTTCTAGTATTTCTGAACTGTTCCTGTCGATTAATGAAACAGCTGCTAGGCTGAGGTTGGCTGCCACCGAGAAAGCTGAGGCAGAGAAGATACTGCAGATCAAGAGAGCCGAAGGTGATGCAGAATCCAAGTACTTGGCCGGTCTGGGTATCGCAAGACAGCGCCAGGCTATAGTGGATGGGCTGAGAGACAGTGTTCTTGCTTTCTCTGAGAATGTTCCTGGGACCTCTGCAAAGGATGTCATGGACATGGTTCTGGTGACCCAGTACTTCGACACCAAGAAGGAGATTGGGGCCTCATCCAAGTCCTCGTCGGTCTTCATCCACCATGGACCAGGTGCTGTCAGAGACATCGCAGCGCAGATAAGGGATGGTCAGCTCCAGGCCAGTCTGGTGTGAGCACGTTGGAAGATGCATGCTTTTGACATTCCAATCAGTAAAGAAGTACATATACCCCGTGAGACAAGTAAAACTTATTAGGGATAATGTGAGTACTTGCACATCAGTTCTGCTTGTTCGTTCTATCTATCTGGTACGTGTGATTATTATTATCGAGATCAATGTTATATAGGTTTGCATAGAACAAGGATAAGGACCAGTTGCTGTAAAAATTTGTCATGCCGTGGTACTGTTTGTAACTTATCTAAGTTATGGAGCCTGAGGAAACTCCTCCATCAAACTATTTTGTGATACCCTGCTTCTCTGTTATCGTGAATGAGAATCTCATCTTCATTTTCTGTGCCCAGATGAAGTGGAAATTCTGAGATTTGATTACTGACGTGAATGCAACCTGTGTGTAATTTCTGAGGCAAGTGCTTAGACGTAGGCAAATGCTTGCTTGGACGGCCTTTGGTACAATCACTTTTTTCAGCATTCAGTAATACGATCGAGTAGCGTTGAGCAGTTTTTTGTTGTGCAGCGCACATGCAACAGCACAATTTCATCCACGGATTAATTTTTGACAACAATCATCCAATTAACGAACATAGATATCGAACTAACATGAGTTTCAGTAATCGTCAATATGATATGATACAAGGTAAAGTCAAAAGTGAAGTTTACAAAACTGCAAACTTCTTACAAGGTGCGTTTAATTGCTCATTGTTGAATAATATTGAGCTAGCTGGGCCATTTTCAGCTCGCAGATTAGGTCTAGCAAAATTCCATGTCCTACAACGCTAGTATATGAACCTTTGCTGTTCTTTTTTTACTTAATTAACAATTTCGGACATCAACGCAGTCTCCAATAAACGTATTTCACTAATACTTTTAAATACCATTTATTTGCAAAAACTTATACAAATTTAACTATATTTTCATGACAAATCATCAGTACTATTTCATGTGTCATATTCTAATATTTCGTATCTACTAGTGGTCACGCATTCTAGCTAGGATGTCATTATTTATAGGAGACACTGTTACATAGTTTTATCCGGCTTGGCAAATGCTTTGAGAATACGATTTGGCGGCCAATAAACACTAAAATCCCCTCGGGAATAAGAATACAGACTACTACAACTGGAACCATGATGCTTCGAGAAGGCAAAAAAATGGAGTAGTTTTTGTCACATAAGACGAGAATGCGTCGAATCTACCAGATATAGTAGGTAGGGCATGTTTGGAACGCAGAAATACAAAACAAAGGAATGAGAAAAAACACAAGAATAGAATAGAGCAAAAAGTAGAAAACTACAGGATTTGAAAACACGGGAATAGAAACTTTAGGGTGTTTGGATCACAGGAAAACAAAAATGCCACATGTGCCCAAGAAGCAGGTTCCATGCTGAACTTGACAAAACATTGTAGGAATTTTTCCTTTATGTTTCCTTAGATGCTTTTTTCCCTACGTTTTATGAAGCACGGTTAGTCTTTCCTTTGGAAAGGAATGTAGGTTTCCTTTGTTCCAAACAGCAAGTTGAGAAAACCTTCCTATGAAATTCATTCCTTTGATTTTCCTTTGGAACCTTCCTATGAAATTCATTCCTTTGATTTTCCTTTGGAAATCCTCCATTCGAAACAGGCCCTTATCAGGCACTAAAGCCATGGCAGCGGAATAAAATGGAGTACGTGTACACGAAGCAGAATTAAAATTGGTTCAGAAATAAGGCCACATTTAGTTTCAAAAAATTTTGGTTTTTCTCATCACATCGAATCTTTGGACGCATGCATGAAGCATTAAATGTAGACGAAAAAAAACTAATTGCACAGTTGGGTGAGAAATCATGAGACGAAACTTTCGAACCTAGTTAGTCCATGATTAAACACTAATTGCCAAATATAAACGAAAGTGCTGCAGTTGCAAAACCCAAAAAATTTCACGAACTAAACGTGCCCTAAACCTCGTATACGTAGGTATAATCTCGTAGCATCCAAACAACCAAAGGTACAGAAGGCATTTGTACCTGATTAAACTCACTCAATAGGTAGTTATCCTTACTTGCTAGTAAGGCTCCGTTTAGATGCAACCCAAAACCTAATTTTTTTTAAGATTCTCTGTCACATCGAATCTTGCGGCACATGTATGGAGTACTAAATGTAGACGAAAAAAAAACTAATTACACAGTTAGCCGAGAAATCGTGAGACGAATCTTTTAAGCCTAAATAGTCCATAATTGGACAATTTTTGCCAAATACAAACGAAAGTGCTACAGTAGCCAAAAGCCAAAAAATTTCGGAACTAAACGGGGCCTAAGATGTTTTAGTGTGGTACACTCCCTACACTCTAAATTATATTACATTGTTTTATTTTAAGATAAAATTAATCTATTTAAAAGAATGGCACTGCTAGCGCTCGGACTTCCTGGACGTCGCTCGACCGCGCCTGCGTCACCCACGCTCACGTGGGGGCCCACGCCCTGTCCCACTTCCCACGTGCATCTCATATGCAACACCCGATCTATTTTTGAAACATCCAGATACAAATACTTACAATATAGAAAAAAGACAGATGAAACACTTGAAACATGCGTCTGAAAAACACCTGAAAAAACACTTGAAAAACATTACAAATATATGCAACATCCAGATAAAACACTTGCAACATATATGTGAAACATATGCAACATCCATATAAACGCACTTGCAATGTATGTGTAGAAAACAGATGTAACATAGGGATAGACTCTTGCAACATACGTGTATAACCATTGCAACATATGCAACGTCTCAATCTACTTTTGCAATATCAGTACGAAACACTTGCAACATACCTCTAAAACATCTGAAACATTTGAAATGTATGCTTCAAACAAGTATCGTATCGCGGTGCGGCCTCCTCCGCCGTTTGCATCGGGGCACCACGGCTAGCAGGAAGCGAGACCAAAGGCCTTCCACGCAAGGGCCCGACGTCATCGGGCGCGAGCATGCGCTTGGCGACCTCAATGGCCAGATGGTGACCATAGCATGGGCGCGGCGGTGTCCGCGCCGTTAGGCGGGGCGAGCGGCAGAACAAGCGGCAAGAGCAGCGGCGGAAGAGCGGGGAGCGGTCAGGCGGCGCCGCGGAAGTAGGGAACGTTGGCGCTGTACTTTTTTATTGGGGAAGGAATAAAGGTAGACCGTAGTAGACCTGCTGTGCCAGTCCGCATGCCAGGGAAGAAGCGTCCGGGACGCACCAGAGTATTTCCGTTAAAAGAATACTAGCGTCTACCAATTCAAATAAATTTATTTTCAAAATAGATTTTACAGAATTTAAGAAAAAAACTTTGTTTTAAGTCGAAGGATTGTTTTTGGGGTGACCGCTGTAGATGAACATGGGGACCTCCCAACTCCCAAGTGTGATGAGCTGCTACCGTTTCCTTCTTCCCGACTGCACCTGTCCTCGAGAAATCTCGGCTACCTCCTCCTCCTGATACCTCGCCGCCGGCCGCCGGGGACTCAACTCTGACCCCCACCCCTCCGCGCCAAAGCTGCCGCGGTTGCAGCATCAGCAATGGTGCTGATCACTCTCGTCCGCGACTACATCGACCGCATGCTCCACGACATCCCGGGCATGAAGGTCCTCGTCCTCGACCCCCGAACCGTACGTGCGCCGCGCCCCTCCCCTCCCCCGGGAGACCTCAGCTCCGGCTCGCCGCTCGCGGCCCACTCCTCCCCGGTTTTTGATCTGACCAGATCCGTGCCCCCCTCCCAGGTTGGGATGGTGAGCGTGGTGTACAGCCAGTCGGATCTGCTGCGGAAGGAGGTCTTCCTCGTCGAGACCATGGACAACGCCTCCAGCTCCAGGGAGTCCATGGCGCACCTCAAGGCTGTCTACTTCCTCCGACCCTCCGCCGACAACGTCCAGAAGCTCCGCAGGCACCTCGCCATGCCGCGCTTCGCCGAGTACCACCTCTGTGCGTTGTCAATCACCGATTTTGCTGTGGAATTTTGGTGCCCTGGGCTTTTCCTTATTGATTGATTTGGTTCTTTTTTTTTGGTTATTAATGGTTTGTGCATTCGCAGTCTTCTCCAGTATATTGAAGGTCCCGCAGATTCAAATACTTGCTGATTCGGATGAGCAGGAGGTTGTGCAGCAAGTTCAGGTCAATGTTCCATACAATCCATTTGCTTATTGGAATGACAATTTCAGATGCTGAGGATGACATTAGCTTCTGTATATCTATCTTTCAGGAGTTCTATGCTGATTTTTGTGCCATTGACCCATACCATTTCACCCTCAACATACAAAATAACCGCATGTACATGCTCCCAACAGTGGTCGATCCTCCTGGTATGCAGAGCTTCTGTGATCGAGCTGTTGACGGCATTGCTTCTGTCTTCTTGGTTTTGAAGCGCCGCCCTGTTATTAGATATCAGAGGACATCAGATGTTGCGAAAAGGATCGCACAAGAGACTGCGGTGGGTCAACTGTCATTGCAAATCATTGCTATTTTCAAGTCCCAAAACTAGATTGACTATCAATATAAAGTTTCCATATGTTGTGCTCATAGATCACTGCTCTTCAGATTTTTCTTACTCCAACACATTTCAGGGTGTTAACTCACATGAGCCTAGTTTAGGTTTGCTATGTGGCACATGGGAATATAGTTATTATGGGAATTTTTGTTAATTCTAGTAAGCCTTTTCTACTATGGTTCGACCAAAGACGCTTTCAACTAACTACAATAATAGAAAAAACTAGAGAAACGCAACTTGTTTCTAAAAGCAAAATATTTTCCCCCCTTGACGTGCTTGTGGATTGTCACCTGTTCTATTTATGAATTGGTCATAACACTTGGGTCATTACCTCAAAAGATGTGTTGAACTAGGGAAGTAGCTATGACTCTAAAAAGGTGGAATAATATAAACGTAAGAGGTGGCGTCTGTAGTTACATTTTTATTGTTTGGGTGCTTTTTGAGTGTGATCATGAGTTTCTGCGTGTGTTATATTCATAAATGTGAGTACCGCATAAGTGTTC